AATACAGGCTACATAAAATAAGGTCAGTGACACACATACATCAACATCACAGAAAAGCCTCTCTCTGAACACAAATACAGGCTACATAAAATAAGGTCAGTGACACACATACATCAACATCACAGAAAAGCCTCTCTCTGAACACAAATACAGGCTACATAAAATAAGGTCAGTGACACACATACATCAACATCACAGAAAAGCCTCTCTCTGAACACAAATACAGGCTACATAAAATAAGGTCAGTGACACACATACATCAACAGCACAGAAAAGCCTCTCTCTGAATACAAATACAGGCTACATAAAATAAGGTCAGTGACACACATACATCAACATCACAGAAAAGCCTCTCTCTGAACACAAATACAGGCTACATAAAATAAGGTCAGTGACACACATACATCAACATCACAGAAAAGCCTCTCTCTGAACACAAATACAGGCTACATAAAATAAGGTCAGTGACACACATACATCAACAGCACAGAAAAGCCTCTCTCTGAATACAAATACAGGCTACATAAAATAAGGTCAGTGACACACATACATCAACATCACAGAAAAGCCTCTCTCTGAACACAAATACAGGCTACATAAAATAAGGTCAGTGACACACATACATCAACATCACAGAAAAGCCTCTCTCTGAACACAAATACAGGCTACATAAAATAAGGTAAGTGACACACATACATCAACATCACAGAAAAGCCTCTCTCTGAACACAAAGACAGATTACAGGTAGAACAGAAAAGATGAGAACCAAATGTGCCACTTCACTCCAGTATATCCACTTTACTCCAGCATATCCACTTCACCCCAGTATATCCACTTCACCCCAGCATATCCACTTTACTCCAGCATATTCACTTCACTCCAGTATATCCACTTTACTCCAGCATATTCACTTCACCCCAGTATATCCACTTTACTCCAGCATATTCACTTCACCCCAGTATATCCACTTTACTCCAGCATATTCACTTCACTCCAGTATATCCACTTTACTCCAGCATATTCACTTCACCCCAGTATATCCACTTTACTCCAGCATATTCACTTCACCCCAGTATATCCACTTTACTCCAGCATATTCACTTCACTCCAGTATATCCACTTTACACCAGCATATTCACTTCACCCCAGTATATCCACTTTACTCCAGCATATTCACTTCACTCCAGTATATCCACTTTACTCCAGCATATTCACTTCACCCCAGTATATCCACTTTACTCCAGCATATTCACTTCACCCCAGTATATCCACTTTACTCCAGCATATTCACTTCACTCCAGTATATTTACTTCACTTTAGTATGTGCACTTCACTTCAGTATGTGCACTTCACTTCAGTACATTCCCTTTACTCCAGTTTATTCACTTCACTATATCTACTTTATCTCTGTATATCCACTTCAAACCAGTACATCTCCTTCCCTCCAGTATATCCACTTTAATCCAGTATATTCACTAAACTCCAGTATATCAAATCATCTCAGTATATTCACTTTAATCCAGTAAATCAACTTTTATCCAGTATATTAAGTCTACTCAAGTGTATCAACTTTACCGCATTATATCCAATTCACCTTAGTATATCCACTTCACTTCAGTATATCCATTGCACCCACTTCACCCAAGTATATCCAATTCACCCCAGTATATCCATTTAACCCCAGTATATTCATTTAACCCCAGTATATCCACTTGAATTCATTATATTAAGTTATCAGTAAATCAACTTCACCCCAGTATATACACTTCACTTCAGTATATTCACTTCAGTGAAGTATATCCACTTTACTTCAGTATGTTTGCTTCACTGCAGTAGATTTACTTCACCCCAGTATATCCACTTCACCCCAGTGTATGTACTTCACTTCAGTATGTCCACTTGAATCCAGTATATTAAGTTTACTCTAATATATCCACTTTACCACAATATGTTCACTTTACTCCAGTACATCTACATCAACCCAGTATATGCACTTCACTTCAGTATGTCCACTTCACCCAAGTATATCTACTTCACCTCAATATATCCACTTCACCCCAGTGTATATACTTCACTTCAGTATGTCCACTTGAATCCAGTATATTAAGTTTACTCTAATATACCCACTTTACCACAATATGTTCACTTTACTCCAGTACATCCACATCAACCCAGTATATGCACTTCACTTCAATATGTCGACTTCACTCCAGTATATCTACTTCACCCCAGTATATCCACTTCACCCCTGTACATCCACTTCACCCCAGTATATCCATGTTAATCCAGTATATCCATGTTAATCCAGTATATTAAGAGTACTTCAGTATATCCACTTCAGCATAGTATATCCACTTTATTCCAGTATATTATGATTACTCCAGTACATCCACTTCACCCCAGTGTGTTCACTTTACTCCAGTATTTCCACTTCACTTCCGCATATACACTTCACTTCAATATATCTGCTCGACTTCAGTATATCCCCTTCACCCCAAGATAAAAGAGGAAAGTTATTAAAGTTTAAGTACAACCCAGGAGTGATTAGAAATGGTCTATCCACACACACATAATGTATAGGCTTTGTCAATTTTTGTGTCTGCCAGTCCTCCATTCATCCAGTTAACCACAGGTGCCAAGATTCAGTTAAAAAAATTAAGTCCTTCATGGTAAACACTCTGAACATCAAGGAAGACTGGCTAATTAAACAGCATCTTGTCTCAGAAACTGAAATGGTAACTCTTTCAAGTTTAGTGGACACTTCTTCAACCAGTTGACACCCAAAGAAAAGTATTTTTGAAAAATGTGGATTCAAACAACACATTGCACAATTTATTGCCTGGCATATTTGGCTACATCATGTTTCCCTTGTGGGTTCCGGGGCGAACAAGAAAAGACCCACTGCCTGCCCAAAGTCATGTCATAGGAGTCGACTAACTGGGAGCTTCCTTCGAAGTCGGTGTACATCTGCCTGAGAGGCAAGGAACACACAGTCTGGGTGCAAGTTAGTTAGACCTGTGAAACGGATGTGCAGGCAACACTCAGTTTCTGGAACAGGACTAGAATCCAGAAGTGGATGAGCAGCCAGAACTTTCCGCCGGAGTTTACAGCCGGTGTAAGAAGAAAAAGAAGCTACATCATGTCAAGTGCATTACCACAAAGTAAAATTAACACAAACATTAATTCTTTTCACTGAAATACATAAATTGTCTGGTCAAATTAAGACCGTACACCTCTCAACCAGAAATTTTAAGAGACAGTAAAAGATGGGAAGGACATGGGGAGAGCTGCATGCGATAGCGAAGGACAGAACTACTTAGTGTGAGTTGGTTGAGGACTTATCCTCTAATGCACAAAAAAGAAGTAGTGGGTTCGTTTTTCCACTTACTAAAGGATGGAGTTTAGAGGAACAACTTCATTGCTCCGAGTTTTATCTCATATATCTCAGTCTCTCTCCAGAAAAAGGCTTGCTGCCTGTCGAGAGCTTCGCACGAAGCAGGAACACTAGCCCTAGTTCCAATACGCACAGGTCTCCATAAAACTGCGCACGTAAACTGCATGGTGCAGCCATAAAATGCACCCACTACTTTCAGTGTGCTAATTAAATAAACAATTTGAGCACTACCCCATGGCAACGCCCTGTTTGGTACTTACTTTAGTAGTATGCTGGTTTCAAAAAAAAAATCCAAACAAGGAATATAACTAGTCAGTTTTAGATACTACAATCCTGATTGATAAATAAGTTTTGTCGCTAAAAAGCCTTAATCAACATACGATACAGACAATGATATAATTATAAACAAGAATACATAAGATCACGTAGCTTTAAGGTGAGGCTTGTCACACTATCTCCATCTTAGTAAAAACAGTAAGATTAAACATTTTGTTTCACACTTTCTGTGCCATGTAGTCATTACTTTAAAGTAATACGTTAATAGCAGATGGCTACAGAAAAAATTTCTAACATTTTTTTTGAAACAAGGGATAAAAAGCTTGGATGACTGATTGACTATCTGACTTAGTCTCGAGGTATGGTGTCCACCTCGAGTGCTGGAGGTCCCAAGTTCAAGCCCGGGTGAAGGTTGGGATTTTTTCAAGTGGACTTCTAGTAATTTTCCCTGGTCTCTGGGTAGTAAGATCAGACGCCCAAGTGTATTCTTGCCAACGTAAAAAAATCTCTTGGCAGTTGGAAATCGAAAAGAGTAGCCTAACGGTGCTGCTTGAGCAAAATTTGGAGTTTAAAAATCTACCCAAACTATTGCAGGATCCTCACAAGTGCAAACAGAGCTTGTGCACTGCGCTGAGGGTCTTCAGACTCAGGCTTGAGTTAGAACGGAGCACATATGGGTTATACCTGTGTGCCCTGATGTTGATCTATCGACTAAACTAAACTAAACTAATGCTCCACTGGGGGTTAGAAGGCAAAAGAATAAGAAAATATGCTAGGCAATAAATTATGCAATACACTGCTTGTATCCGCATTATTTAAATTTACATGGGGACATTACTTTGTAACAAATCATTACTCAATGTATTTACCACTTTTCAGGACTGTGTAGGAGAGGACATTCATGAGTCTGAGGATTGGGTGTCGCCTGGCCAACAGAGTCACCACCAACTGGGCAGGTAAGGATTCTATTTTTGCTCTTGTCAGAACAAATTTCTACCCCTTACTGAGGATCAAAACCAGGGTTCCCATGAGAGCCAAGTGCTCTAATCCCTCAGCCATCTGCTTCCTTTCGTTGTGACCTCATTATTTTTCTATACAACAACATTTTACCACATACTTTGTCATTAATTTATTGACTGTCCGTGACTCCCTTCCGTACATCACAGCTGGTTCCGTACAGCTCTTGAGAACCACCTCAAGTGGCAAATATTGCATAAAACCCAAATAATAGGCAGTGGTTAAAAAAAAACAAGTTGGTTAATTAAAAAAAATGTCTGCCTCCTAGGTACAAATTCAATACTACTTGGTAAGAACATAAAGGAGACCAGCGTCATATTGCTGTATATGTATGCCTTGTCGATGCCTTTCTTGGGGAGCCTTTCATGGACATTTCAATTGTTCGGAGAGCTGCTTGAACCTGGTCTCCCAGGCATTTCTTCTGGGCAAAGGAGCTCATGATCTTCAAGGCCTCCATGACCTGCTGCTGTTGTTCTGGGTCATCGTCTAATGTCACAGGAGAGGTGGAAGGCAAAGAGAGATTCATCTGAGATTGCTGTTGTACTTGCGATGGTTGTAGGTGGTGAAAAGACTGTGGCTGTGTTACCTGCATGTGGTGCTGAAGATGATGTTGAGTTGTGATGCTGGAAGCTAAATGATGAGACAGTTGACCATGGGATGAGTGGGATGCATGAGCAAGGTGTGTCCCACAGGGTCCGCCTTTGTCCTCGCTCATTTCTGGTTTATGATACTCCCGACTGACTATAACACTGGAGTCTAATGGTAAAGCAACTTGGTAACCGACAGCAGAGAAAGAATCAAACATGTTATGGAAAACTGGCTTGGGAATTGTGTCTCCGTAAGTGTAGGCCACAGATACAGCACTTTCATCAACAACACCTGAACCTGCAGGGGTCAAGAATTCTTTTGCCCAAATGCATGGCTCTGCCTGTTGCTGAGCAATCTCCCAAGGATTCTGGAACCTTTGGTGGATAAATACTGGTGTTGTCTGAGGTAGCTGCAAAGCTGGTCCTTGTTCCAGTGATTCAATTATCACACTTTCAGAACTACCAATGCTGTTTTGATGATACTCATGAGGAATTTCCTGCAACTGGGCAAGATCCTCAGAAGAATTTTCCATTTTACCTTCACCGTCTCTTATTTTCTTTTTCTTCATAGCATTTTTGGGTAAATAATCCACACTTCTCACACTGCTACTGATGTTGTACCTGTGTCTCCATCTGCCCAGCCAGCCGCTGGAAGCATTAAACTCTCTGCCAAAGTCAGCTGCAATTCTCTTGGCTTTCTCCTTCAGCTTGGGACCTGTCACATGGATGCCGGCGACTTTCTTCTGCATGTACCACTGGTACAAAGTATAGGCCACCTCAGGTTCCTTACAGTCTCGAATCCTTTTCTGAGTGGCATGGTCTTCAGAGTGTAAAAATATCTGGTCTTTCTTCTGGTTCATCCTGGACATTGAAGAAACTGATACGCCAAACTGTCGAGCAACAGAACTTAGAGTAGCTCCGGGTTCGTCTAATGCTTTCAACATCCGTGCTCTGTTTTCATAGGTATGTTCATTTCTTTGCTTCAGGTCAGGACAACCTTTGGCATGGCGAAGGCTTTTTATACGATTGTTCTTGACTCTGTACGACACATAGCCACACTTCTCACACATGACTGACAGAGGAAGTCGAAACTGCTTTACTGAAGGTGATACATTTACAGAGGCTGCTTCCTTTTTTGCAGTCAACTGGGACATCACATGAGAAGCATCTTCCCTCTCACCTTGTCCCCTTTTATCTTTTGGGACTTCTTGATTGGAGTTTGACAAGGTCATACCTTCAGCACTGTCAGTATTTCTTCCCAAACCACCTAATTCACCTTCATCACCATCTCCATACAAGAAAGTGTTGATATCTGTAACATTATTTCTGTGTCTCCAGCGGAAAACCCAACTCTCTGACGGCCAGAAATCTTTGCCCAGGACTTTGGCAATGTCTCTGGCCTTCTCTCTAATCATAGACCCTGATATATGAATGCCCAGCTGAAGCTGAACTTTAAACCACTCACAAAGAAGTTTTTCCACCTCTGGTTCCTTGCTGCCTCGGTCTCTTCTCCGAGCAGAATTGGCCAAACCACTTGCTCGGCGGGCTAAAATATCCAGCCGTTTTTTATGAATTCTGCTGATTGCCGAGGCAGAAACACCATACTTTTTTGCCAGTGTTACCATCTTGACCCCAGGTTGCTCTAGGGCCTGAACCACTTGGACCTTCTCCTCTAGGGTCAAATCCTTTCTCACAGATATTGCCGGACACCCAGGTAGATGATTGCTCCCCTTCTTTTTCTTGGTGCTTGTCAAAACACCACAGTGCTCACAAATGAACAGGTCATCAGCTTTCTTTGCTGGCTCAGTCAGACTTTCATGCTTCATGAGACCCACCCTGAGATCTGGCTTCCCAATGTCCTGCAGCACATTAGTCAGGTCAACCTGAACATCGAGCTGCCTCAACTCCTCCCTGTCAATGATGGTAGGTGTGCTGCTGGATTTTACCCCAATGTTGTGCCTGTTCTTCCAGCGTATTATCCAATTGTCTGAAGGAAAGTAGTTCTTTCCCATGGTCAGAGCAAGTTCGTGTGCTTTTTCTTTTAATAAAACATTGGAAATAGCTACTGGGCCATTGTTGGAAGACAGTTGCTCAATGGTGCGGTACCATCTCAACAGCCCTTTGTCAAGTTCAGGATCTTTGCATTCACGAGATCGTCTTTGGGTTCGATTCAAGTCTCCACTGACTGCCTGCAGCATGATGAGGTCCCTGTTTTTGTTTATACGGCTAATGGCTGACACAGACACACCAAATCTTTTTGCTACAGTTATAAATTTGGAACCTGGCACATCTAAAGCCATAATGGCTTGCAATTTCTCCTGCAGGGTCAGATCCTTGCGGTTTCGCAGCTTTAATTTCTGTTGTTGACTAGCTTCATCTACACTTATATCATGATCATTATCACCCTCTTGAATATGTCTGCCTACAAATTCTTCTCTAACTTCAATGCCTTTTTTATCTAAATGAATTCTCTGTTTTCTCTTTTTCTTGTTTTCTGATGGTATATCATTGCTAGCAATATGTACCCCCCTTGCCTGCATTTTCTGAAGATGTTGCCTTTTCTTATTTTCACTTTTGACTAAATTCTTGGTCATTTCTGAGCTGCCTGTAGCTTGCATACTAGTTGTTTTGTTTTCAAGGCTTAGTAACTTTCTGGAATTCTGTTTCTGCTTACTTCTCACAGAAACTACATTTCTCCTACATGTCTTTATTACTTCATGCTCTCTAACTATCTTTCTTTTCCTTATTCCATTCTTATTCTCAACAACCTCTTTATTTACATCCTTACTGAGACATTTCCTCAGCTCCCGTGCAAGTCTCCTGTCTTCCCTGGACTTATTTCGAGCTTCTCTACTTTGATTTCGAAGATCATCTTCCTTATTAACAAAAACAACTTCAGTCTTTTTTCTAGACAAGGTCCTAATGGGTGATTCTTTCTTCTTGATCTTCTCTTTCACATCAGAAATTTTCTTCAACATTTTCTGTTTCTTCTTCTTCTGTAACTTGGCACCATGAAAATGTCTGAATGCTTGCCTATATAAAATACCAAAGCGTTTTTTACTAGTGATGGATTTCAATGACTTGTTTATGTATACATATTTTGTCACAACCTTGCATAGACTCTCAGGGGAACCCCTGCTGCTGTTTAAATTAGCTGCTAATCGATTCTGTTTAGGGCAATTTAATAATTGTTTACCTCCTTCACTGTCAGCTGATAAAGTTTCTTGCACAAATAACCTTGCAGGTATTAGTTTTGGACTAGTTTGCACCAATAGATCATTTGTCACTGATACAGACCTACCCTGACACTCAGTGATAAAGAACATTCCTTCTGAGTTAAGTGTAGAATTCTGCGTCACTGGATTGTTCTCTGTCACTGACAACAGGTTATCCTGATGTCCTCTGCATAAGTTTTCACTAGATATGACAGCTAAAGTCTTCCTGCCCTCCACAACCTGATGTTCAACACCAAGCCCCTCTTTGACATCAAGCCCCTCATCGACATCAAGCCCCTCATCGACATCAAGCCTCTTACAGGTTCCTAGCAACAAGTCACTACCTGTTTTATCATTCCCAGCTGTTTGTTTTAGAGACTTGTTTTCACTTTGTTCTTGAAAAAATGATCTGCCAGAGGTGACTTTACAAATGCTGTCAATTTTAGATGAACCATCAAAATTGATAAGTGTATGCTCTTTGCCTGTCACGTGATCTGTCTGCTGTATAGATGCAAAACTGATCCGCACATTCCGGTCACTATGGCTAGCATCACTTTCAGGAGAGTTATGGCTACTGTTATTGTTCTTGTATTCATCTGTCTCATGACTGACTGAACTCGATCTATGACTTTGATCTTGTTCATAGCATGTATCTGCCACTGTATGTTTTATGTGTTTCTGTAATCCTGTTTCAGCCCGATTATTTAGCAAATGCCTTGTTTCCTCATTAGAACAACTGGTTTCATTAGAGCAACCAGCTTTATTAGAGAAAGCAGCCTCATCAGAATAACTAAACTCATTAGAACAACAGGCTCTGAACTCATTTCTACTAAATGCTTTACGTACAGTACAGCTGAAATGATTCACAACATTGTCAGCTATTGAGATTACAGGGTTGCCTTTCAGGTGAGCATTTACAGCTTCATTATGGCTTTCTTTCAAACAGCTGTTTTTATCAGAGTCTTGATCATTATCCACATGCTGATTCATTTCTGGGGTCAACGGACATTGCTCATACAGAAGAATCTCTTGACCAACACAAGGCATGCTGTCTCTTGATTCTGCTAGATCATGCTTTAGGCACCAGTCTGTCAGTTCTTTAGCTCCTGAAGATCCTGGGAAGACTGACTCCACTTGATTCTTCATCTGAGAACATGGTAAGTGTTTCATCACAACTGCTGGCTCCATATCTCTAACACAAAACTCGCTGATTAGAAAACCTTGAATTCACAGAGGTTAAAACATCAGCAAGTGTCCAACTGCATAATTCTTTGAAGCCAGCTGATCCTTCTCCCTGCTCATACCCTCATCCATAGCAGCTACTCTAAAACAATGTCAGCAGTAGTGCTGCTTCATGAAAACATTACATTTCTTGATTCATATCCACACATTCTAAGTCAAGATTAGTTAATTTCCAAACCAGACAAATGTATCATGGTGAATGGGGAAAACAAAATGCACATGCTAGGTCCACTAAACCTTATACAGTGTACTTTGAGCAAATTCTGTCTTCACTTGTAAATCTGTCCACGCTGATAATTACCCCATTCAATTTTGTCAAATAAACTTTCTGCAACAGTCAAGTGTCAGTGATCAACCACCATATTCTGATATGTATTTTTTATTCCATGAAAAAACAAAAAAGCTGCATCTAAATTTTTTTAAGCCACATCAGAGATCACTCTTTTCAACAAAAGACAAAGGGACATTACTCTCAATTTTGAAGGGAGAACAGCTACTTGAGATGTGCAGAATGTTCCTTAGTAATTCCAAGCAGATACATAGTATATAGCAGACCAGATACTCAATGGTTACCTCAGATGAAAGTTACAGAAATCACTGTCAGCATTTAAATACTTCTGACAACACTGCTATTTCCAACAACTGACGTTTACAAATTGAACACCATTCTTTTCTTTGTTCAGCAACTAATGTTTTCGATCACCAGTATTTTTCTCTCTGTTCAGCAAGTGATGTATATAAAAATTTTCTTTTCTCAACAACTGATGTTCATAAGCAAAGCATCAGTCAGTCTTTTCTTAGCTCAATAACTGATGTTCATAAGCAAAACATCAGTCTTTTCTTAGCTCAACAACTGATGTTTATAAATTGTGTATCAGTGTCTTCTCTTATTAACATAGGATAAAAATAAAATTACCGTTAAACTTTTAAGAGGCCTGTTATATTATTTCTTGCCATATCCTTCCCTGTTCAACAAAAGAAGATAATAATGTTCTTCTCGAAGCTTTCTTTGATCATATGAAAGGTTAATTTTTCATCAATATTTTCACAAGTGGTGAAGATAAATTTCTGGTCAATAGTTTTCCTGTCCAACAAGTGTTTAGATCAATTTCTGATCAATATCCTCCCTGTCCAAAACATATCCAAGTACAGTCCTTGTCAATATTCTCGTAGAAGACTCAATTCGGTGTGTTCGCTGTGAATTAAAAAAAACAAAAAAATTTGTAACATCCAATAAACAAAACTGAAAAATGTACAATATTCTGAAAAACAACAGAAAAGAGGTATTACAAAAAACAGCATTCATTTGTCATGTACACAAATGCCTCATCATGTACACCAGTACATGATGACAATTGTCAGGCTTCTCATGTATACAAGAGGACTCATGTACATCCGTGGATTGTCATGCATAACCGTGGATTGCCATGCATAACAGTGGATTGTCAGGCACATCAGCGGACTGTCATGCACTTAGGTGGATTGTTCTGCAAAACAGTGGATTGTCAGGCACATCAAGGTGTAGTATAACAGCTAACAGGAGGGATTAAGAGGTACTATTATACCTGATAAGCCAGTGACATCTGACACTGACGAATGAATACAGTGAGGGAAGGAGACATGGAATAGAACTAAAATATGTCAGGATCCCCAGTGAGATTTATTATTGTAACACACATTGCTCTGGGGTAGTCTTAGAAGATGAGAATGAACAGGTGACGGATGGCAGCGAGGACAAATCCCAGACACTTGCAGTTGCATGAAGCCATGGGCAGGGTATGCCAGGCCTGAGATAAGACAAGACCAATGGGAAAAGAGGGAAGATGGGGATAAAAAGGCGGACGGATAGACAAGCAGCGAATGTGAGAGATAGCCGAGACACGAGGGGTGTCAGACATGACAGATCACCCACACTAGGAAGAGAACAGGAAAAACAAGAAAGGAGGACAGTGAGTCCAGAGGCGTTAGTTAAACTGGACAGTCCACAAGGACTGTAGCTTATGAAGATACAGTTTACTAGATAGTGGTGAGTTAACTTGTTTAGAAAAGAGATATTTCAACAGTACATTAAAAAGAGACTTTATAAACAGTCGGCAACAGTGAATAATCTGTTACGAGGTGAAGACAATGTCTTAGTAACCTATAATGAAACATTTGTTTTATTGTTAATGAATAATTGTCGCCATATTCAAATTGACACTGTGTTCTGTAATAAACAAACCTAATTTCAACTGATGTGTTGATCGATCACTGGCTGTATTGTTAACTACAAGAGACATACTCAGACTATATAATATACTTGTTCCGTATAGGCACATCTGACTGAACTTGGGGAATGTGAAAGGTATAATTGTACCACAAGTATATCAGTGGATTATCGTGCATATATGTGGATTGTCCTGCACATTGGTGGAGTTTCAAGTATATAGTGGATTGTCATGTACACCAGTGGATTGTAAGTCTGACCAGTGGATTGTCAGGCTCACCAGTGGATTGTTACGCATATCAGTGGATTGTCATGCATATCAGTGGATTGTCAAGTATATTAGTGGACTGTCACGCAAGTAAGTGGATTGTCATGCACATCAATGGATTGCATTGTGCACCAGTATACTGGTATGTCCACTAGTGGATTGACATTTAACCAACTGACCTGTCATGTATTCCAGTGACTAAATAATATCTGTATTTTGTTTCTTTCTTTTAAGTTGTTATAACATTGGGTTTTTGTCGCTGTTGTTCGTTTAAGCTGATGATAGGCACTCAAGTAAACTGACAAAAAGAGACAGTAGAGTTAGTTAGCATTGTAGGAACACAATTAAGAATGACAGAATGACATTGCATAAGCTTACATAACATACATATTTTTATAAAAACTGCTTAATCAGACATTGGACAACTGATTTATGACAATTCTTGCCCAGGTGATGTCATTATCTATACAGATGGCTCTGTGTTGAGAGGCAGAAGAAGTGCAATGTGGTCCACAGCAAAAATGAATTGATGACTCTTAGTGCAACAAATCTGGCATATCTTCGTCAGCATTACAAGCCCTTGAGGTTCACTGCTGCAGATGTCATCAGCCTCCATTCATCTCTCTGGTTGGCCTCCTCTTTCTAGTTGCTGACACCAATTGTTTGCAGGTCTGTCTGGATACTATGTCTCCATCGTCTTCTTGGTCTGCCTCGTTGTCTACGACTATTCAGCTCCCTTCTGTATATGATACTATAATATCTTGTCTGAGTATGGAGGTGGTCACTGCAGCTTTCTGTTAACTTGAGAACCAGGTGTATACACACAGATCATGACTTATGAAACATGCTGAGAAAGGTGCAGAAAGGCTTGCACCATGCAGAATGGCAAGAATTGCTTCAGAGGTCCCTGGTAGCTATTGCACTTTTGATTTTCTCCAGGACAGGCAGATGTGTCAGAAAATTCACTAGCAGACACAATGGCTAGTTCTACATCATTTGCTGGTAAAATGATGCATGCCAAGTTAGATGTTATCAAGGCCCTTTGGAAGTGAGTGAACGGGGGGAGGGGGAGATCACAAAGAGATCACAGTTTGGAGAGAATGGTGCAGCAGGGAGTGACCAGGAAAACTGGCTGACAATCAACACTTAAAGGAAAGGCAGGAGAGACACATAATCAGGCTGCTACTGCTGCCATCAAAGTTTGAACTCTCTGCTGGGCGCTGAAGATAGGGTGCTCATGGAGGTGGAGGCAGTAACAATAGCTTTCCGATGGTTCAGATCAGCACTGCCCAAAGTGTGGTGACTGTAACAGAATCATACAGCATGCTCCGTAAAACAGACACTGGCATTGTATGCATAGAGTGGCTTGCATCACTTGATAAGATTCAGATCACGCGTAAGCGGCATGGGCACTACTCTCGGTGGTGGCGGTAGTCGCCGGAAAACCGCAAATTAAGTGGCCTGAATTGCCCAATTCACACGTGACTGAGGCCCTGTTTTTGGCTGTCATCTTTTGCGCCCGTTATTCGGACGATAGCCGGTTTGTAGATGCTACTAAGAAGAAAGCTGCGTTACCAATGCGGTATGAGCCGCGCCTTGTTCCGATAGTACTTAGCCAAATTTCAATGGCGTAACAGCCACAAACAGCAGATTTTCGGGCACTATTTACAACTTTTGTGCCATAATTTCCAGATATAAAGACATGAAATTATCAGTAAGTAGTCGATTTGATATAATATTTTTTTCGTTCCTTATTAGTTTTGACTTCACTTTTTGAATGTTTACAACACATGACACATGACTGTGGCTCATCAGGATATTTTGCGGCCGCCATCGTTATCGCTCGTTATTCGAAGGATAGCCGGAAAATGTACTTCTTAAGACTAAGATATAAAATATTGATAACTTATATATGAGCTGAGGCTGCTGTGGTGTAGACGCTTGCCTATGGATCATAAGCTCATGGGTTCTGGTCCTGATGGAACCAAACTTTTTTTTAAAAACCTTAGCTCTCCGTAGTCTCAGGTCGCCCACTCTAGGGCGTAAAGGCAGTCGGTGTGATTTTGACCAAATATCCCATAGAGTGCTGACTGGTGTATAAAATATAGGTCTAGCCCTATATGCCCAATATGACTAAAGGCGTGGGAAAAGGTCCTTTATTATATACGAAGCTTTACTGCTTTACAGACATTAGGGACTACGGTGTTCGGAAATTTGCGGTCTTTTTGGCAATTTCTGTTACCATGGAAACCATTTTAATGTCGGCTGGGGTTT